ACAGTAATAATAATGATAATAATAATAATTGCATTTTCATAGCGCACATCCATGCTCTGCAGTAAGCTTTATGAGCTTTACAAAAATTTCTTTTATAACTCCGAAAGACCCCAAAACACAACTCATCATAAACATTTTCAGGTTTTCAACGAGCATACAGTGTACGTAGCCGATTAAGCGCTGCAACACCAACAAACTGACAAGACCTTTCGCCATCTATAGCCGGGTACTCACTCCCGCTTTAATTTTTACCCAACAAAAAATGCGTCCCACAAACCTCTCTGATTCATTCTCCTGTTGATGGTCGATGGGGACGGTGTGTCGGATCAGTCGCTTCGAGCGAACCTCGACCGATGGGTCCCAGAAGACAACGCGTTCCTGAAACAAGGTCAAACAAGGTCACACACACGCCCACACACACACACAGACAAACACACACCATACAAATCTATGACAGATCAATTCAACTCTTCATCTCCAGAAGGGGTTTTCCAACAAATCCCAGGCCTTCTTTTGGAACAAAACCTAAAAGTGACATATATGCCACGAAATTAGTCATTAAATCAAAACAAATGAATCTACTTTTCTTCATCTAATGAAAGAACTCCCGGTAAAAGGGACCTGTATTCGACAATAGCTAAAAATCAATAAAACGTCAAAGTCATCATAAAAGAATGTTCCTGAGCCGATGCCAGTGGCTCACCAGCACAGTGGTTCTGACCACGAGCAGCTGAGAGCGACTTGCCGGAGATGAGGATTTTATGCAACAATTTTGTCTGCTGGCACAGGTAACTGGAGTCAACACAATACAGTGCAGCCTCTCTATAACGGCATCGTCGGGACCAGAAAAAAAATCGTTATAGAGAGTTGTCGTTATAGAGAGGCAACCAAATATTATTAACGATATATATAATATACACATATATATAATAAGGAAGAAATCGGGACCTGGGCACCATGTCGCTATAGAGAGGATGTCGTTATACTGAAGGTCGTTATAGAGAGGCTGCACTGTAAAGTAGCCTAGTAACGCGATGGCATCTTTTGTAACTATAGAGCATTTTTATATCGCTTTATCTGACGTGTAGACTCCATTTTTTAAATTGCGAGTTGTTAGCTATGCTCATGCCTTTTATTATTTCCAACTGTTTGTTTATGTGTGTACTGATTTGTAATTTATAACTTACATATTACTATTCATCTACTTCTCAGCATGAGCTGCAATGAACTATTTAGAACATATTAATAGTCTAATTGTGGCCTTAAATGATTAAATTATACATTAATAGTCTTACGAAGATCTTACTTTGAATTAATTATACCAAGATAATCTTATTGTAATCTTACGATGAACTAAATAAACATTAATAATCTTATTGAGAACATGTAAGAAGTAAAAGTGTTATTGAAAACATGTTTTTCACCAGTGTCTGATGTAGCAGTTAGCAGTTCTGCTGTTGCAGGCAGGAGACCCAAGTTCCATTTTAGAATTGGGGAGAAATTTGTACCCAGTATCTTGGGTCTTTCTGCTAAGATGTTGTATCCTTCTCAGCCTGAGTTGGCTCTGACAGGCAGAGTTGGAACCTCCATCCCCTCCTCCTAAATAATTGAATTTGTGTAAACACGGGGCGGGCGTAAAAATATCTACAACCCAAAACAACTTAACCCCTACTCTCCTGCGCCTCCCCTCCCAAAAAAACCCCAACAACAGCAAACCAACAAAAAACAACAACTCCCCAACAACTTAACCCCCCCCCAAAAAACACAATAAAAAACCAAACCAACAAACAAAAAAATCCCAGCCCCCCCAAACAACTCAACCCCTACCCCCTCCCCTAAAAAATCCCCGCACAAAACCTCCCCAGAAACAAAACAACAAAAACTCCACACATCCCCCCCCCCAACCACAAGAGTCTCACCCTGTTTGTGATCTCCTTGATGTAGATCTGCTGGTCCCAATGTCCCTCGAACGTGCACAGAACCTCCGTGCCCATACGGATACGTCCCGTGATCCGGTTAGCCGCCTCTCCGTTGCCGAAGAATGGCTGTGGGGGACACACAATGCAAGGTATTGTGGTATATGTTAACTTTTCTTATCATGCGAGTTTTAGTTTAGTAAAGAGTTTTACGGCACTTGCAACACAATAAGGTCATATAACTGCCGAAGATTAGAGGTGTTACAAGAGAGTAACAACAAACGTAAAAAAGAAGGAGAGATAAGGACGATAGATGTTTAAGAGGAAAGAAGGAGCAAACCACACCAGAGCACCCGCCAACCACCCACTTATCATGTGAGAAATCGTGATGAGTTAACTTTTCTTTTATGCAAGAAATTGTGATATGTAAACTTTTTTTTTATGCGACAAATTGTGATTATATGTAAACTTTCCTTATTACACAAGACATCATCATATGTAACCTTTTCTGACCATATAAGAAATTGTAAAGTGTAAACTTTCTTTATAATGCAAGACAGCCCCACATGTAAACTTTCCTAGTTATGCAAGAAATTGTGTTATGTAAACTTTTGATGAAGAGAATCATAGAAGTGAGGGGAAGGGGGGGGGGTGCAGGGGATGGCAGCTTAGAGAGGAAGGGGTGTTAGTGTAAAAATGACCCTTCTTTTAAAAAAAAAATTTTTCGCATAAATTTTTAAGCACTTGGAACACAAATAGATCATGTGGAAGCCGAAGGTTAAAAGTGTTACCAGAGAGTACGATATAAAAACAAAACAAGGAGGAGAGATCAGGACAATAGACGTTTGATAGGAAAGAAGGAGCAAACCACAGGAGAGCACCCGCCAACCACCCAGCAAACTGACCTTCAGTTTGAAGTCGAGGTCACAATGGTAGCCAGTCTTTGGACAGCCGATGGACACCTTGCCCCCCATCTCCATCGTCAGCGTGCCCAGAAGAATTCCTGCACAGCGGTGGAAAAGAAGATGCCTTCAACAACACTAAAAAAACGGAAAAAGTGTGGGTGTGCGCGTGCGTGTGAGTGTGTGTGTGTGTGTGTTTAATGCCACTATCAGCACTATTAGTATTAAGTCATTTAAAGTGACAGTCCATTTCCAATAAGATCAAGCCAAATTGATTAAGAGCCTTGGATACTTCACAAAATGACCTGAGTTCAAAAATGCCCAGTCTGGGATTCGATCCCCGGCCATCTGCTCTGTAGTCCACCATGATACTAGCTGAGCTAATGGAGCACCTCCAAAAAATAGACCACAGAACGTTTTTATATTATGTTGTCTGTTTGAGGAAAGAGATGCACATCAACACAATAATGGTCATTTAGTAAAAGTAAGACAGACAGACAGAAACAACAGAGGGGAAGTAAATTTACATGTATAGGACCTACAAGTGGCGCCCTCCAACCGTTCTTATATTAGAATGAGTAAGAATAAACAAAACAAACTTTAAAAAAAATGTTTCTCAACTCAGAGACATTTTCAGGGTGTCCTTGTAGCATTTTTTTGGTGCCCAGAGGACAGTTCAGAATAGAACACTGCCTTTAGGATTCTGAAGTCAGGCATTCTTACAACATGGCCAGCCCAGGGGAGTTGAGTTCTTTGGAGCTTTGAAAACAAAATCTCGGCATTTGTCCTTTTGAGAACTTTGAGCCTGGTATTTTATCCTGCCTTTTGATGTCAAGAATTCTCCCGAGACATTTCACATGAAAATGATTAAGCTTCTTGGCACGGCTTTGGTACACCTTTGAAGTCTCGGCACCATATTATAGGGTTGGGAGGACAACAGCATTGTAGACTTATAAGCAACAAATTGGTCGCTTTTAAGCACAAGGGGGCTATCCCGAAAAATGCTGCTTTGGGAAAATCGAAGGTAAAATTTTTGGACACTTGTTCAGTTTCTTTATTAGACAAGGAGAGTTTTCTTTATAGTCAAACAAATATACACACCAATGAAACCACATTTCTCCTATAGGTAGGTCAAAGCCCACTTTTGGTGTGAGTCAAGATTTCTGGAAACCCCCGAAATCTGGGTTAGCCCGCTTGTCCTTAACCCTATCCATATGTCTGGTATCATTTTGTACCCCAGGGGTTGTATTCTTCACATTTTAGAATACTTCTAGTATGAAGATCTCTTTGGAACTTTCAGTATTTCTCAAAAAATCATTTTGACAGACTGCTATGCAGAGTGTAAGGATCGGATTAACGAGTAAATTTCTTCTTTGGAAAGTGGTGGCACAGAGTTCCCCGCGTCGTATGGATACGACAGTAAAACACGACGTATGGACAGGATTAAAAGTGACCAAATGATATAATGAAGCAGTTTTCACACATTGTCTTACCTTTACAGTGGGCGTAGGGCATGGTGATGAGGTAATCCTCTCCGCGTTCTAAGAAGGTCAAGGTTGCAACTCCGTCCAAAATAGCCGAGATAGAGTTGCCTGGAGATTGGGATAAGATAGATAAGAAATGTTAAAATAAGATGAGATGAGATGGGATGAGATGAGATGGGATGAGATGAGATGGGATGAGATGAGATGGGATGAGATGGGAAGGGATGAGATGGGAAGGGATGAGATGGGAAGGGATGAGATGGGATGAGATGGGATGAGATGGGATGGGATGGGATGAGATGAGATGGGATGGGATGGGATGGGATGAGATGGGATGGGATGAGATGAGATGGGATGAGATGAGATGGGATGAGATGAGATGGGATGAGATGAGATAAAATAAGATAGTTTTATTAATCCAGGATGAAAATGTTGAGTGAATGTACCTGCGCATCAACATGCAAAGATTCAGTAAAAGTGTAAGTACGTGTATGGATGTAACTCTCCTATCCAATAAAGTCGATGTGATGTGTTGTCTTCAGAAATAGCTCCCATCTGAGTTCGAGCCATTCAGCCTGAATAAGTTCATACTTTTAGCCTTTGACAGAGAAAAACAAAGGGACAAAAACTGGAGCCTTAACTCATTCCACCCGTAGTGACAACTCAGTCGTCGTTGGCCGAACACGGTTTCCGCGGTGGAATGACTCAGCTGTTGTTTCTCGTACGGTTTCATTGAAAGGTTCCTACTATTATTTTCGACAATATTTTGTGACTTGCGAATGGATTTGTGTCAAGACTGGAATCTTCACAGCTAGTTTCGTTATTAGTCGGCTTTTAATATAAACATTTTTCTGTTTTTATTTTCAATTTGAAGTGTCGATCGAAATAAAGCAAACCAGTTTGTTTTCAATGGCAACAATGGCTTGGGGAAATGATTCACGCAAAATGAAAGTCCCATAAAGCTATTCGATGGTCAATGTTACTAAAAGAAGCTTTCTTATTATGACTACATTGTCAGCCACACTGACTTCGACTTCAATAGTCTTTTCCAACTAGTGAGAACAGCAGAGATGATACTGACGATGGGGATGAAACTGACCAGACTTTGACTTGGCGTCGTACTCTATCAGGAGTAGTAGGTGAATCATCCATTAGTTTTATAACCAGCCCCCAAAGTCTAGATCAAGTACTAGCAATGCTCAACAAAGCTGGTACAACTGCTAGTACTAGATTAATTACAAGGATAGAATTAGGAGCTAATTGCAAGTCTAGGTCTACTGTCAGAGGAGACTGGGTTGTGGCTGACTAGCATTTCGTGTATTTAAATTACTCCAAATTATGGAACAAGCTCTGTGCTGGAATACCTGTGTGGTATTACCACAAAGATGATTTACATAATTTATAAAACTTTTATTGAGTATCAGTCTGTATTTCATGGGTAATGATGACAGCAAGCTGGATAAAACTCATCAATCTAGCCAGTTGAATTATTTTGCAGTTATTATCTCCCGTTATTGCGTAATTGCTCTTACATAATAAGACAAAGAACCAGGTAACCCATCAATTATGCTAGCTTGTTCAATTACCTTTCCAGTAGTATCAAATATATATATACTTTCGTTGAAAAATACGGTACCAGAATCAATTTGAACAAGGTACCCAATTGTAATAGGGACTCCTGAGAAAAGTAATTCCGGCGTTTTGGGGGATCAGTGGAAAAAAACCACGGGTGCAAAGAGTTAAAATATCTTACCGTAAAACTTGGATTTGGCGAGGATACAGCCGTTGATGTTAAACCCGTCTTGTCTGTTGGTGACGTGGAAGGCAGAGACTGGGGGGTGATGGGAAATCTGTGGGACGGAATCGGTACGTCATGTACATGTATATTTGACGTGCAATCAAAACACACAGTAAAAGCAACAAGCTAGACTACTAGCAAAAAAAAATCAAGTGTGAGTAGCATGTGGTGAGATCAGGCATTCGTTACACTAATGAAATCGAGGAACCCATCATTTTAGTGCCCAATTTGCTATTTATACTGATATTTTTTAATTTAAAAGATTTTTTTTTTAGGGGCGGGGGGGGCTCTACACCTTTTATACAAACTTCGTTGTGTGTGGATTTTACAGAAAAAGGTTGATCAAAGGCCACTGGCCACTGTGACTGCTGCCCTCTGCATGGGTCTGTCTCGAGTGAGGCCCTCTCTCACCACCACACAGCACAATGACAGTTTACCTGCTCAGCCACGTAGAACGTCCTACTGCGACTCTCCGGGTGCACCCAGTAGCAGCGGAACGTCTCCCCGATGATAGGGTTGTACGGCTTCTTCAGACCCTGTGAGAGGAGACGAGGGAAAAGACGTTAGACCAGATGTCCGCTAGTTTTAGTAAATGTTTTACGGCACTTGCAGCACAATAGGGTCATATAAGTGCTGAAGATTAGAGGTGCTACTAGAGAGTAACTGAAGATTAGAGGTGTTACAAGAGGGTAACAAACACAAAAAAGAAGAAGAACATGGACAAAAGATGTTTTAGTCTTCATAAGAGTTTTACGGCACTTGCAACACAATAAGATCCCATAAGTGCTTAAGACTAAATGTGTTACAAGAGAGTAACAAACACAAAAAACAAGGAAGGGGAGATATGGATGTTAGATGTTTGATAGGAAAGAAGGAGCAAACCACACTAGAGCACCTACCAACCACCCACACCAACCCGATGTCCATTGTGTGTCAAAACTGACAAAGGCACAAGGTTACCGCACAAGATGAACAGCATAGCCACTGTCAGACTAAGAATTAAAACCCCACAAGACTCAGACAACACAAGTACAGTTTGACAACAAAACGCGACAAACGCCATTTTTCAAGTTTTGCTGAAACGAGTACCGCCATATCTAGAAAGGCGAGGCAATAATAATAATAATGAGGAGGAGGAGGAGGAGGAGGAGGAGGCAGGAGGAGGAGGAGGAGGAGGAGGAGAAGGGAGGAGGAGGAGGAGGAGGAAGAAAAAGAAGAAGAAGAAGAACAAGAATAAAAAGAAAAAAAAAAGAAGAAGAAAAAGAAAAAGAAGACAAAGAAGAAGAAGAAGAAGAAAAAGAAGAAGAAGAAGAAGAAGAAAAAGAAGAAGAAGAAGAAGAAGAAGAAGAAGAAGAAGAAGAAGAAGAAGAAGAAGAAGAAGAAGAAGAAGAAGAAGAAGAAGAAGAAGAAGAAGAAGAAGAAAAAGAAGAAGAAGAAGAAGACCAATAAGAAGAACAAGAAAAAAAAGAAAAAAAAGAAGAAGAAAAATACAAAGAAGAAAAATACAAAGAAGAAGACGACAGTGGTCTTACCTTGGGTTTCTTATAGAATCCAGACAGGTACCACTTCAACACCATCTTCATTCTCTCCAGCGCCGTCTCTTGCTGCACAGCTCTGAAACAACAACAAAGTTTTCATTAGAGAAAAGAGTTTTACGGCACTTGCAACACAACTAGAGGCGCGGAGGTCACTCTGAATTCACATTCGGTTCACGGAATCAAAATTACGATTCAAGAGTAGAAAAATTTGTTTAAAATAATTTTAGTAAGCGTCTCAAGGTACAGTCGAACCTGCCATGACGGCCACCTCTATAAGCGAAGGAAGAAAGTAAACCCCTCCACAGTGAAGGAAAAAAGGAGCAGAGCAACCCCCCCAGAGCGCCCACCCACCAACCCATCATCATCATCCGCGACAAAACAATTCCCCTTTTTCTTGTTGAGTTTTCCTTGTTTCTTTTTTCTTAAAACATAACAATTTGCACCATGTCAATACATTTTTACGTAACCTACGAATATCGGCACCAAAATCAGAGCACTGGACCAAAAAGAAAGAAAAAAACCCCAAAAAAGTTTGTGACTCACTGCGACAAGATGTCGGCGTGGTAATAGTAGTCGGTGAGCTTGTCCAGGAAGGAGCGCGGCTCCAGGATGAAGGTCGGCAGAACGACCTTGGACAAGTCCATGCCCGGCCGAACCTGGAGGGGGGAACAGAAAGAACGGGGGGTCAACGGTCAATGAATAATTATAAACCTTATTTATTGTACAGCGTAAAATCCCCCCTCAACAGCAAGCTTTATCTGGAAAACCTGGAGGTGTCACCTCTGACTCAGAGGTTCACGTGTAATGACCCCCCATCTTTCACGGTCGTGAGCTGCCGTTACACATTCTGCCATATCCAGGCCAGTCCATGTTCTTAATAATAATAAATAGCATTTGTATAGCGCATAACCCCGCTCAACAGCAGGCTCTATGCGCTTTACACTATATTATTACCTCAGCAGACCATAGAACACTCCGAAACATTCTCAGCTTCCCGGGAAGCATACAGTGCAAGCAGCTGATTAAGCGCTCAAACACTAACAAACTGACAAGATCTTTCACTGTCTATAGCCGGGTACCCATTCCCACCTGGGTGAAGAGAGGAAAATTCGTGTAAAGTGCCTTTCCCAAGGACACAACGCCGGGCCCCTGACGGGATTCGAACCACGACCTTACGGTTGCGAGTCCGAGAGACTAACCACTAGGCCACTTATGATGTCCATCCATGTTATTCTTTGCCTTCCTCTGGCTCTCCTGCCCCACATCCTTCCTTCAAGCACCTCTGTTACTAAGGTCTCATGTTGTTTTAGGTGACCAATATTTTGTGCTTTTCATTTGATAGAGCAAGTTCCATCCGCTTCACAATCTATACTATTACCCCAGCAGACCTGAGAGCATTCTGAAACAATCTCAACTTCATGGGAAGCATACAGTGCAAGCTGCCAGTTTACAGGTCCTAAAACACTAACTCACTGACAAGATCTTTCGCTGTCTATGGCCGGGTACCCATTCCCACCTGGGTGAAGTGAGGATAATATGTGTAACATGTCTTTCCCAGGGACACGACGGGCTTGAGACTCAGTTTTTTTAAGTTTTAGTAAGGTTTTACAGCGCTCGCAACTGCATAAGGACATATGAGGGCTAAGGGGTGGATGTCAACAGAGAAGTCCAAATGGGGAACCAGGCTTACTCTGCTCACCTCTCTTGTCTCAACAGCACAAAGTCTGCTTCGACCATCAAGGCACCCCGGAAATAGCAGTTCACACGAGAGTGACAAGAAGATTTTGTGTACATTAAAAATTCTACATAATAAATAAAATATTCTGTGTACATAACAGAGGTTATAGATTATACACAGATGATTTTTGAGTATGCATTAAACATTCTTGATTATACATAGAAGATATTTGTGTATACATTAAACATTCTAGATTATACACAGAAGATTTTGTGTACAGCTAAGAAGTTCTATATGGCCCACCTGTTTGACCAGTGTCCAGATCAGACTTTTGTTCTCATCGTTGACCTCCTCCGTCTGACAGGCGTCGCCTTGCTGGGAAACACGAGAGAAAGCAAAGATTCAGGAGTGTTGCACAGGTGTGTTGCACAGGTGAGCTGCACAGACTCAGGTGTGTTGTGTTGCACAGACTCAGGTGTGTCGAACAGATTCAGGTGTGTGGCAATTCCCTCTGAACAACTAAACAGTTGTTCCAACAGGTGAAATGTACTCATGCGCGTGTGTGTGCCTGCAGTGTGTGTGTGTGTGTGTGTGTGTGTGTTATTAGATGGTCTCATGTGTATTTTCTGTCTTCTGATTTGTCACGTAAGCTGAGAGATAATTCTGCATTGTACAGTTCTTACAGCTTTCAATTCAAGGGATATGGTTACTTGTAAATTTCCATTATTATTAATAATATCATTATTACTATAATTAATATTAACTTGAATATTGGACGTTAGGAGAAGCAACGCAAGATGATGAAAAGTAAAATAAGATGATGAAAAGTAACATAAGGCAAAGAAAAGGAACGAAAGATGATGAAAAGAAATGTAAAATGATGAAAAGTAACATAAGAAGATGAAAAGTGACAGGAGCCAGTAAAAAGGAAAATGCGACGTCTATCCAGCACCCCTCTCTCTCTCCCTCTCTCACCTGCCCCAGCTCCTCCACCTCATTCGCCACATACAGAGTTTCTTCCACTCGCGGCACGTCCTGCTGCTTGCCCTCACCATCAGCCAGCTCAAAATCCGACTCACTCAGTCCCATGCTCGAGTGATCTACAGTGGGATAAAAAAAACCGCAATATGAAATTCAAAAGATGTGAGCGAAACGTACAACCATATAGAGCAACAGAGAAACAAGAAAACAGTAAAAGATGGAACATAATAAAAATAGTTTGTTTGTGTCGGTGTCTGCCAGCTCAAAATCCAACTCACTCAGTCCCATGCTGGAGTGATCTACAAGAGTGAAAAAAATCAGTGTAAAAATGTACGAGCTAAACGTACGACCATATAGAGAAACAAGATAACAGTAATGGAACATAATAACAATACAAGCAATTTGAGCGTCACCGTCGGCCAGTTCAAAATCGGACTCGCTCAATCCCATGCTCGAGTGATATACACGAGGGAAAAAAAAATCACAATAGGAAAAAGTACGAGCTAAATGTATGACCATATTGCTTTCTGGCCGTGAAACCTCTTAGTAAAGGCACAACGACCCAGGACGTGACGATCCAATGGCTTTCCCACTTGGCCGATACCTCATGAAAGAGTCGAAAACCTTAGCCAGTAGCCATTGGTGGCGGGGAATGGGCAACGTGAACCCTACCGGAATTACACGGTCACAGGGCAGTTAGGTCTTTCCAGTCTCATGAAAACTCCTAGTACCCTCCTATCCTCAACATGAATGGCCTCTTCTCAGGGTGGGCAGGCAGTCCACAGACACCCCAGTCCACAATGCCAACAACAACAGATAAACAAGATAACAGTAAGGGAACATAAATAATAACGATAAAAATAATTCGTGTTACTGTCAGCCAGCTCAAAATCCGACTCACTCAGTCCCATGCTGGAGTGATCTACAGCAGGAAAAAAAATCACAATATCAAAAGATATGAGCTAAACGTACGACCATATAGAGAAACAAGATAACAGTAATGGAACATAATAACAATACAAGCAATTTGAGCGTCACCGTCGGCCAGTTCAAAATCGGACTCGCTCAATCCCATGCTCGAGTGATATACACGAGGGAAAAAAAAATCACAATAGGAAAAAGTACGAGCTAAATGTATGACCATATTGCTTTCTGGCCGTGAAACCTCTTAGTAAAGGCACAACGACCCAGGACGTGACGATCCAATGGCTTTCCCACTTGGCCGATACCTCATGAAAGAGTCGAAAACCTTAGCCAGTAGCCATTGGTGGCGGGGAATGGGCAACGTGAACCCTACCGGAATTACACGGTCACAGGGCAGTTAGGTCTTTCCAGTCTCATGAAAACTCCTAGTACCCTCCTATCCTCAACATGAATGGCCTCTTCTCAGGGTGGGCAGGCAGTCCACAGACACCCCAGTCCACAATGCCAACAACAACAGATAAACAAGATAACAGTAAGGGAACATAAATAATAACGATAAAAATAATTCGTGTTACTGTCAGCCAGCTCAAAATCCGACTCACTCAGTCCCATGCTGGAGTGATCTACAGCAGGAAAAAAAATCACAATATCAAAAGATATGAGCTAAACGTACGACCATATAGAGAAACAAGATAACAGTAATGGAACATAATAATAATACAAATAATTTGAGCGTCACCGCCGGCCAGCTCAAAACCTGACTCGCTCAGTCCCATGCCCGAGTGATCTACACGAGGGGAATAAAATTACAATAGGAAAATGTACGAGCTAAAAGTATGACCGTATACAGCAACAGAGAAAGAAAATAGCAGTAATAGACGGAAACACATTAATGTTAATAATAATAATAATAATAATTGCATTTATATAGCGCATATCCATGCTCAAGAAATTGCTCTATACGCTTTACAACTATTATTACCCCAGCAGACGCTCTGAGAACACTCAGAAACATTCCCGGCTTCCACATATTAACAATGATAAAAATAATTTGCGTGGTATTGTCAGTCAGCTAAAAATCTGACTCATTCAATCCCATGCTGGAGTGGTGTACAGCAGGAAAACAATCACAATATCAAAATATATGATTAAAAAAATGATTTTCCTCAGTTTTACGGCACTTGCAACACCTTGCAACACAATGACGTCATATATGTGTCAAAGGTTAGAGATGTTACAACAAGAGAGTAACAAACACAAAAAAAGAGGACGGGAGATAAAAGCGATAGATGTTTTGTTTTGTTTTAGTAGAGGTTTTACGGCGCTCGCAACTGCATAAGGTCATATGAGCGCCAGAAGATTAGAGGTGTTACAAGAGAGTAACAAACACAAAAAAGGAGGACGGGAGATAAAGACGATAGATGTTTGATAAGAAAGAAGGAGTAAACCCAACCAGAGCACCCACCAACCACCCACAGAAAATATATGAGTTAAATGTATGACAACATAGAGCAACAGAGAAAGAAAACAGCAGTAACAGGTGAAAACAAAATAATAATAATAATAATAATAATAAATAGTTTGGGCGTTATTGTCAGTCAGCTCAAAATTTGACTCCCCATTTAGAGCAACAGAGAAGGAAAATAACAGTAATAGATGAAAACACATTAATATCAACAACGATAAAAATAATTTGTGTGTTATTGTCAGTCAGCTCAAAATCCGACTCACTCAATCCCATGCTGGAGAGATCTGCAGCAGGGAAAAATATCATAGTATTAAAATATACGAGCTAAATGTACGACCATATAGAGCAACAGAGAAAAAAAATAGCAGGAACAGATAGAAACAGACCTCCTCCTCCTCCTCCTCCTCCTCCTCCTCCTACTCCTACTACTACTACTACTAACAAAGATCATAAAAATAGTTTGTGTTATTATCAGTCAGCTCTAAAGTGATCTATAAAATTCTTTTTTTAAAAGAAGAAAAAAATATACTAGTTGAATGCAAGTTCATATAAAGCAATGGTGAGTTAGTTTTAGTTAAGATTTTACCACACTTGCAACTCAAAAGGTCTGTCGTACAAGAGCAGAAGATATGAGGTGGGGTTATAGGAGAGCAACATACAAAGAAAAGAAATAGGAGAGATAAGAACAATAGATGTTTGATAGGAAAGCAGGAGCAAACCACATCAGAACATCTTCATATTTAAAGTGCAAACTTTTAAAAAAAGTATAAGTTTTAAGGCACTTACAAAACAATAAAGTCATACAAGTGCCGAAGATATGAGGTGTTACAAGAGAGTATCTAACAGAAAAACAGAAGTAGGAGGGATAAGGACAATAGATGTTTGATAGGAAAGTAGGAGGAAACCAAATCAGAGCATCTATATCAAGTGCAATATGACAGGCACAAGTCGGGCAAAATCAGGACAATTTCAGAAATCACGATTTCCGAATTTATCCTGAAAATCAGCACATCTGCGAAATGTTACAATTGTAATCTAGCAAGCATTAATTAACAGCACTTGCAGCGACACAATTAGGTTGTACAATACCTACCGGGGTGGTGCTACAGACTGAAGTGTCTTTAGGCCATTCCCAAAATGGGGACATTAACACGTTCTTATGCACAGTAGAATTATAATTGTAAATGGGCTGATTCATCAATGTCATGCTCATAACTGTGCCTGATCTACAACAGGGAACTGCTGCTTTTTCTTTCCTAATCCTTACTATCGTCATTTCCCTCTACTTTTTTTGTACGTTTGTCACACTCTTGTGACCTGCTATTTCCGGGGTGCCTTGATAGTCGAAGCAGACTTTGTGCTGTTGATGCTATAGAGGTGAGCAGAGTAAGCCTGATTCCGCGTTTGGATTTCTCAGTTGACATCCACCCCTTGGCGCTCATATGACCTTATGAAGTTGTGAGCGCCGTAAAACCTTACTAAAACAAACGAGGTAGTACAAGCGCGGGGCGAAATAACCCCATCGTGTATGTACGTACCGTCATCATCACTCTCGTGGTCCACGATGACCTCCGACTCCTCCATCTGTTCCTCTGCCTCGGGGTCGTCGGGCGCGCTCAGACCCAGCTCAGCCGAGAGGGGACCCCCCTGGGTGGCCGTGTGCAGCGCGGCGTGTAGCTCGCTGTCTGACAGGTCCTGTGCGCGCGACGTGGTGCGTTTGATCAGGCTGGTGCAGCGGAGAGCCAACTCCAGGCCGTCCATCCAGCACTTGCCTGGCCACATCATGAGGACAATGTTAATTGTTTAGTTTTAGTAAGTGTTTTACGGCACTTGCAACACAATAAGGTCACGTAAATGCCGAAGATTAGAGGTGTTACAGAAGAGTAATTAACACAAAAAAGAAGAAGGAGAGATAAAGACAATAGATGTTTGATAGGAAAGAAGAAGAAAACATAAAAGGGTTGAACAACTCGCCAAATTTGATTAAAATTGCGAAACTGCTGGGAAAATGCCTGTTTCTCCAATTTTGTTATTTTGACGAGCGTCTGATTTCAACACGATGCCTCACATATTATTGATAATAACACGATAAGATCTTGAAAAATACACAAAGCATAATATTATGTAGTAAGACAATAATAACAACATTAATAATGATCAGTGATAAAAATAATAATAATAATAATGCAGTAAAACCTCTGTATAACATCATACAAACTTAATATGTCTTGAGATGATGATGATGATGATGATGATGATGATAATAATAATAATAAACGGAAAAATAATGATAATAAAAATAATAATCATAATCATATTAATATTAACAATAATACTGATGTTAATAATTCCTACACTTGTATGTTCCTTACCTTGATTCTCTGAGGGAGCTCTGAAGATTGCATATGACATTGGAAGAGGCTGAACAAAAGCACCGATGGTCTCCCCTTTGGGGCCCTGGTGGGGAGAAATAACACAGAAAATGAGGGAGAGAGAGAGAGAGAGAGAGAGAGAGAGAGAGAG